TATCGATTAAATTTAATCGATAATAATCGATTAATTGTTGGTAATCGTAACCTATCAGCTTAAAAAATTTCCTGATATACATATAAAAAGTGATTTATAAATAACAAGGTTATATCTATTTAGAAGTAGTATTACAAAAATACAAATACAGAAATACTAACAGAAATAAATACTAATTAATGTTTATAAATTAGAAGTAACCTATTTATGAAAAACTTAGCTAGAAGTTTCAATGCTTATATTCTGTAATTCTCATCATTTTAAAAAGTACTTATTAGCAAAACCTGTATGCATATGACAAATATTATACAAAACTATCATACCAATATTGGAAGTAACTGTGAGGCTATAATTGTTAGATATACTTTAATGAGATTTGTAACAGATACTGTACTAAGTACTAAGCTAGAAGTATAATGTATTAGTATAAAACATGTGAGGAACCTATTGATAAGAAATTAATTAACAGAAATAATATATAAAAATTTAGGTTAAATATAAAGGCTTTAATAGATATAGATTACAGATAAAGTAGTTCAAGTCTAGTATTCTGAAATTAGTCAATTAGTAGGTATATAAGTGAGCAACAAGGTTGTATAATAGTATACAGACTTATTATTTAATAAAGATACAAGAAGTATAACTTCATCTTAAAAAAAAATAAAAAAAAACAATAGTATAGCTTTTTACTATAATTTATTATTTAAAGCAAAATAGAAAATTTATATTTCAACTTAATGAACTTGATAAGTTGTTATATCTTCAAGCAGCAAAACAAAAGTTTAAATCCTACTGATGACAAAATTTGAATTTTATAGAATTTGTTATAGCAAACTGTGTATAATTTAATAAGTAGTATCTATAACTTTGGTTATACCAGCTTGTACTGAAAGGCTGTTAAATATTAGTGTGATGCATAAGTTATATAAAATCTAAATAAAATAGCCAAATTAATCTAGAGGATTAGAGCACACAAAAGCCTGCCTAGAAAACCTAAGTAAAAAGATAACACAAATCTTTAACAGTATTATATAAAGAATTATTATCCATAAGACTAGAAAAACCAAATAGGATCGAAATGTTTAACAAAACACTTCACCAATCAGGCTTAAGAAACTAGAAAAGAGAATACCTTTCTGAACCATCTAAATTAAAAGTTTGGGGAAGCCAGAGAGATAGTTAACAAGTCTGTAAAGTAGATACTGAGATTTGAATGAACTTTATAAGGACAAAAGTAGGTAACAGTAGTGGCTTTAGCTTAAAAGTACTTGTTTTCAGACTCAGCATAAGTTACTAAAGACTAGGTTAGCTAGATTGTAGGTATTAAAAGCTTTAGCAACAATACCTCAAGGATAAATTAATTCTAAGGATTTTAGAGACAATATTTGAAACTTCTTAATTAACAATTGTAACAGAAATGTATTGGAATACAAGTCAGATTGTATTATAAAAGATTTAAATAGATAATCTCCTAGTTAAGTTATAAATATTATATCTAGTATAGTTTCTACAATATAATACTATGATGCAGACTACTTAAATAGGCAACCAAAAGTTGCATATGTGACTAGTTATACTTTCTAATATAAAAGTTCTATAAGAACTCTTTACCTAAATACTTAAATAAAAACCTTGGCCCAAAGAGCCTAATTAACAAAAAAAAAACTTATATTTCTTCACCTTTGAAGATTAAAAAAAAAACATATTTTTATATGCTTTGATAAGTAATTTTGATACATCTATAATAAAAAGATTAAAAACATAACTTCAATATTTTTTGCTTCTAATACTTCTAAAAATTTTGATCTGCAATATACAGTATATGACCAGATTTTTTAGAGTTGAAGCTATTAATTGAATGTTTATAATAAAATGATAAGCTCTGAACTTATACTAGTTTCTGGTTTTTAGTATATACTGTACGATCTTTATACTCTATCTTGTTTAGTTTAATTTTCTTAAAATTATTAATCTATTTAAAACTATTACAATATATATATAAGTAAAAAATTCATTCCTGCTTATACCCAACTACCCAAGATATAACTATTACTAATTTACAAATCTAGATAAGCTATAGCTATTCTAGCTAATTTAGACTGCAAATAAACTAGTATAAGCTTTGATTCTTACTATATTAGAATATAAAATGTAAATGTAATTTTTTTTATAAAAGAAATTAATTAAATTTTAATAAAAATCAAGACATGATCTTACTATTAATATTAAAAAAAATCATCTCAACAATAAAAAATAAAAATAACACTACAAAAATAAATAAAAATAAAATATATATAAAGTTTTATTAGAGTTGTAAAACCCTACTATTGAAAATAATCAAAATCTTTATTTATTTTAGAGAAATTAACATAATCATAACTTTTAAAAAATAGATAAAATTAAATTATTATTATGCTAACTTCTTTAAAATAGAAGGAATTCGGATTATTTTTAATTATAGAGTTCTACAATCCTAATAAAATTTCTATATGCCTTTTTTGTTCTTAAAAAAAAAAAGTTCTTAAACTACAGTATATAAAAATTAAATTGATTTAACTAGCTAATCATATAAAATTAAATTGATTTAAACAGTTAATCATATGAAAGATATTACCAACAAGGTAATTAATTTTAAACAAATTTGACCTAATTTATTAAAAAATAATTTATTTATATTGATTTTAAATGACTTTGGACTTTTATCTAATTCCGATAATATTTTTATAGTACAGTAATCCATATACAAATATAAAAAAAAAAAGTTTTTTAAATTTTATTATAGAAATGGCGAAATACTTTGTCTAGCAACATATTCTAGTAAAATATTTATATTTATTATACTAATAAACAATTAGAAAACATAAATTAAAAATAAACCATTGATTTTGCACACATTTGATATACAGATTCGATTATAACGAACGAGAATGCATGTTAACAAAAAAAAAAAAGATTACAATGCTTATATATCTTTTACTGAGTAATCAAAATTGGAAGCTGATGAATATGTTCTTCGTGAAGCATAATTGGGCCTTTCACGCTCCGTAGCCTAAGAAGTATTGGAATTAATTGTGATTATGAAGTTGAATATAAGACTGTAATAATAAGAAATATTACCGGTGGACTAATAAATGATTTTAATTCCTCTGAATATAGCGTCAATGTAAAAAAAAAACAGTAAATAAGTGAAAGTAATATGCATTGCAATACAATAATTTAAAAGTAAATGGTCAGTTGTTATTTGGCAATAAAGTATTTTCTTCAGTGAAAATTCGGAACAGGTCTGAAATTTATCATCATAATACTATATGTGGACGAGAAAAGATTCGAACTTACCAAGTTTTTCGTCTGATAGCTTTGAGAACTGAATTGGATTGGACTCATTATGATTATCATACAAAACCGTATCAGATGTTGATAATTCTGCGCATTGTTTAGCCATAATTCCAAACTTCTTAGGGTTTTCACGGTAGCTTCATTTACATAATCTAGAAATTAGAGTTTTGAACTGAATGAACAACAAACAAATTGACACTTACGTATCATAAGCAGCCTTGTTTAGGCAATGTTTTTCTGACAACTTATCCAAAACATCCTTTTTGAACGACTTTTTGACGTAATGAAGTACATGAAAAATATAATATTTGTGTGATGCCCAATCTTTAAATTGTTGGGTCAAAGAGAAATTGCCAGTTTCTGGGTGGATGAGTGGGTGAAACAAACCATCATCATTTATTAACTTGGAGATGAAATGCACCGTTGGAGGATATTCTGGATACGTATTTGAAAAATGTTAAGGTATTCACTTGTGCGATAAATATTTCATTGGTAGATATGCTTTGTTAAATCCCCAAACTTTCATCACAAAAAGGATATTCAGTAGGGATGTTCAATTTAAACTTGAAAACGCCGCCCTTGTAGTATCCCTTATGAATGAACAAAACGCCATACCAAACTGTAATAATACATCAGTATGAGTGAATAAATTCATATGCTCAAAGGCATAGTAAGAAATCAAAAAAATCCTGATTCTTACTATAAAAATTGTCAGCAGAGGGCATAACATAAACACCACTTGGACAATGTCTCGGATTACGAAGGTTTGTGCTTTTAAAAACAGTTACATTAGTGCCACTTTCATCAGACAACAATTATTGAAAACTAAAAATGGTACTAACAACTCGATCATTAAATCCATTTTTCGAAAACATTCATCTCTAAACTGTGGCTTAGGCTGGTTATCTTCCTCTGATCTATCACGTTCGTCACCTTTCTCACCATCGCGATTTGAGCTATTCAAAACTGAATCAGCTGAACGATAATACGAAGTTTTAGTCTGCATACTGAGATCAAGTCAAAGTTTGAATATGGTAATTGCACTTTCTTTTTTAAAAATCTAAGACCTTCGATTTTATCAGTATGGCAGTATGCTATTTAAATTTCTGTATGAATGTCGTACTGAACCAAAAAAAGGTCGTCAATAAAACAGGGCTTCAAGTCAGGTAACTCTGGCTGGAATTATGAAGATCACGTGGTTGTTTCGAATTTCGGGTGTACTGTAGGCAGTGTTATAAGTTCAAAAAATTTTTATTGGCGCAAACACAAGAAAAATGCACACACAAAAAAGAAATTTATATGCGCTTTATATAAGGTGAATGTGGGTATTGTGGCGAAGTTAACTTTAGCGGCACGTAGCTTGTTATCACGTGATCCAAATCAC